TTTGCGGCTTTACTTCAGGATTTATGTAAGTTTTAATATATATCGGGTGAGGCGTAAGCCTCACGCCAGTGAGGCGAGGCGCGCCTTAAAGTGGGCATCAACCAAGTTGAGGCGTAAGCCTCATAAAAAAAACTTGAGGCGTAAGCCTCAAGGCGTTTTTCACTGGAATTGCGCAAAGGCGGGCCTAATATTGCGCAATTTTAAACCATGGTGCGCACAACCTCATTCGAACAAATTGGTAGTGCATTTAGAGTATGGACGACGTTTTGGACACAATTACGAAGTCCGTTCGTCGATCGGAGATCGTTTGGATGACGCTGAGGTTTGATTCTTCTCAATATGCATGTTTTGTTTCGAAATTCGTTCCACAAATTCGGAAGTTCAAATTGGATAAACAAAATGTAGTTTTCATAGGTTGACAACATTCTGAACACAACGACGAAGTCTGTTCGTCAATCCGACGTCGTTTGATTAGCCTCGCGCTTTAATTTCAGGTGTCGGTCATTACTTTCGACCGATCTCATCCGAGGAAGACTTGGGTTGACCAAGTCAAAGCTTGACTTGGTCAACTTAGTCTATTTGACCCAAGGGATGAGTGGATTAGGTCAAGGATAGGTTTGAATAGGCTTTGAAATTGAATTGGACCCATTAGGGCTCAATGGGTCAACCGGGTTGACCCAAGACATGGGTCTAAGCTCAATGAACTTGGTCTGACCCATGGAACCCAAGGGAGGTGGTCTTGAGGCCTGGCTTGATCAATTTGTCCAAGTCAACCTCTTGACCCAAGTGTTTGACAAATTCAGGGTCAACACCAACCTTACCTTGTAAGGAAATGAGGATTGATGATTGGCTTTATGTCCTCCATGGGTCATGAATGCCATTAGACTCACCTAAGCATATTTTTGAAAAAAGATGTAAGGTCTTTATAATGCATAAAGAGTGACATATACGATCTGGCTCCTACTATTGAGATGCATATGATGATTTTAATGCAATAACTCTGATTAATTGTCTAGACTCTATATGTTACCATATGCGATTTAATATAGTGTATTGGCAAAGCATTTGCCAACCAAGCTTAACGTATGGTCTAATGGCGCATGGTCTACACCAGTAAATCATATCCAAAAATTGGCCTTTGTAGCTTCATCTACTCTTGTAGGATTTAGATGTGCTATGTTGATTTTATAGTTTGTAGAAAAAGTGGCCGAATGGCTGAGCCATTTTTGTAGAAAACTGTTTTGCTTTTATTTTAATACAAATTTTTTCTCATAGACTAGCGTGAATATTGTTCAAGAAATCTTTCCATATCTATTTCAACATTGAATAGGAAAGTTTTTAATGACTTCAATTAAAAAATCTGATTGCTGCACTGATTGGGAGATTTTATTATGGCATGATTAGATTTTTTATATTATAGCATTAATTAAGTTTTTCTTATTAGTTTTGTTTCAAATCTATATATAGAGATTTGAGGTCTCCTGTAAGGTGAGTAAGAGTGCAATTTTAATCATGTTTTTTCATAATAGTGAAATCATCTCCTCCTCTTGGATATAGGCAATTCTTGTTCAACGTAAATTGCTTCGTGTTCATTATATTTGGCTGTCTGATTCTTTGTTGTTTTTCGCTGATTTGCACAACAAATATAATATGTCCAAGTCAATGCAGAATAACAAATATCAAAACAGTAAATAAGCAATTTACAAGAACAGTGAACATCGCAAGCAAACAATGCCTCACATTATTCATTTTAGATACAAATAGTTATTTTAAAGCACAAATCAATCTTCATCAACCAAATTGTTTCTTCTACGAATTGAACGTACCCAACTAGCGAAAAAAGCTAATATGTTTATCTGGCAGATATGGCCAAGTTCATAGGACAATCTGGAGCCATATTTTTTGTGTGGCAATCTAACACTATTAAATATAAATAACCAAGTAGCGTTCTCAATCCTTGGATATATATCCAACGGTCTGTCTAAGTCCTTCCTCTTCTTGAATCTTCTCTAGCTTCTTCTCAAGATATCCTTTATGTTCATGGACTTCTTGATCATTCTCTTCACATGTTATGTAGATGTTTTAGTCTAAACATGCATGAATTGCTTTAATTTTTCAAAATAAATTTAGGCCTAACAAATTTAACATGAACAAAGGCTTACTTTATTAGATTTAAACGAGAATTTGACTTTTAACAGGACACAATGAAGAAAAAGAATTCATGCAGCCGACCCCACGTAGTGGGACAAAGGCTTGATGTTGTTGTGTTAGATAAGCTGCCTCCGCAGATTAATCCACGTGGCAGCATCTCATTACTTGTACTTTCTTTTATAATTTCTTGTTTATGTTGTCTTTAAATAGAACTGTTTTGTAACTCAAAGTTAATTAATGAAATATTTTCTTTCACCATCTTCCTGGCATCGCCTGTCTTTCCTCTGAGAAATGAATCTCTGTTTCTCAGTTCTGTCATGATCTCACTATTCTACATGGTATCAGACGTCTTGATCCTCCTTTCCTAAACTCAACTTCTGTTCTTCTTCCCAATGTCTTCCACAACTCAAGAAACGACCTCCCGGCAAGTCTCCGACGTCAACCGCTCCCCTCATATTCCATCCTCTCTAAAGTTCTTGATGAACAACGTCAAGAACGTTATCTCCCAACCCCTCACGGCGGATAACCATCCGCTTTGGCGATCCCAGGTTCTGAAATTGTTCCGTGCAAACGGATTTGAAGGTTTCCTGGACGGGTCCACAACCTGTCCTCCTAAGGCGCTACAATCCGCTAATTGCGACACCGTCTCAAACCTGGAGCATTCCAACTGGATCCTGCTAGACCAAAATTTGGCAGCAGCTCTTTATTCTATCATCTCGGCCACCATTCTACCATACGTTCTTTCCGTGGATCACTGCGCCGACATATGGCAAACAATCGAACGTCGTCTACAATCGTCCACAAGATCAAGAATTAGTCAGCTCAAAAACGAGCTGCACTACTTGTCCATGAAGGACAAATCAATGACACAGTATCTCCTGGAAGTAAAAACCAAGATCGACTCTCTTGCCGCGGCCGGATCACCAGTTGACACCGAAGAGATTATACACTATACACTTAATGGCTTACCGCAGAACTACCAAGCCTTTAAAACGGCTATTCGTACCAATCTTCGCCCGGTAACCTTGGACGAACTCTACACGTTACTGTGTAGCGAGGAACTTAATCTCGCACACGAAGCCACCAAGGATCTTCAATCTTTGCAACTCTCCGGGAACAACACAACATTAACGGCTACTCGTGGCCGTGGTAGAGGTCGGAATTCTTCATTCAGAGGACGCAGCAACACAAGATCCACCAACAATCCAAACTACACTAGACCGACTAAATCACCGAAAAATTCTGTCACCTGTCAAATTTGTGGGAAATTCGGCCACACCGCTGTCAAATGTTGGTACCGTCATGACGATAACTATAACACCGATCCGGCACCAGCCCTCTTCACTTCTCCGGTCACGCCATCACAGTCTGAGTGGTTCCTTGACAGCGGCACTTCGTCTCATCTTACATACGATCCAAACCAAATCCAACACGGCCAACCTTACAACGGTTCAAGTAAAGTTATTCTCAGTAGCGGACAACACTTACCGATTCAATCCACAGGTAATGGTATCCTTCCCACACCCACAGGTAATCTCCAACTATCCAACCTTAATGTTGTACCAAATCATTCTTTTAATCTTCTATCCGTTCACAAATTAACTAACGATAACAACTGCCTCATAACCTTTTCTTCCCTTGGATGTGAAATCAAGGATCGTACGACCCACCGCCGTCTTCTCACGGGTCCGTGTATTAACGGCCTCTATCCCTTCCGCACCGGCTCCATCCCAAACCCGCAAGACAACCATCTCGCTCTCCTTTCCGTTCAACACGTCCAGGACATGTGGCACCGCCGTCTCGGTCACCCTTCGACTCAGACTCTTCTCAAGATCGCCAAGAACCATAAAGACGTGCGCATTTCCAATTCTTTTTCTATATGTAACACTTGTCAAATGGCCAAAAGCCATCGCTTACATGTTGATAACTCTCAAAGTGTAACTAGCTCTCCCTTCTCTTTAGTCCACTCCGATGTATGGGGACCCGCCCCTATTGTTTCATCTCATGGTTATAGATTCTACGTTTCATTTGTCGATGATTTCACCAAGTTTACTTGGGTTTATCCATTAATTCACAAATCAGACGTGTTCACTACTTTTACTGTCTTCCAATGTATGGTCGAACGACAATTTAATCGTAAAATCTTAATCCTTCGTACCGATAACGGCGGCGAATTCCACAATCATAAATTTCATACTCTATTCAAATCTAATGGTATAATCCATCAACTGACTTGTCCTCACTCCCCATCTCAAAACGGAGTGGCTGAGCGTAAACATAGACACCTCACCGAAACAACTCGTTCGCTTCTCATTCAAGCTTCTCTACCACAATTTCTTTGGGTAGACACGCTATTAACCGCTACTTACCTCATAAACCAGCTACCCTCACCGAACACTTATCACAAATCTCCATATGAACTACTCTTCGGCAAACCTCCCTCATATGATCGCCTTCGGAAATTCGGATGCCTCTTCTATCCGTGGCTAAAACCATACTCCTCCAACAAATTATCTCCTCTTTCTCTGCCCTGTGTGTTCATTGGCTACGCTTCATCCCAAAAAGGCTATAAGTGCCTAGATCCCAACACCAACCGTGTCTACACATCTTGCCACGTAATCTTCAATGAATCGGTGTTCCCGTACGCTAATCATCAGCCAAGTTCCACCATCACTCCCTCCACAGCACCCAATTCAACACCTCCTCTCCTTCTGGTTCCAACCCACAATCTACCTACATCTCTAGCCAAGCCATACACTTCTCAAAACACTCATGTCACGACTCACTATCCTGCCCATACGCAATCCTCTGTGGACCTATCTGTACCGACATCACACACTCAAGATCACCATTCAGACAATCAGCCTCAGCAACTGCCCAACTCGTCCGTTCGTCCATCCGACTTTCCTGACCTTCCTGCCACCAGTTCAAGCACGAACTCATCCCCTCATCCACAGCCGTCTCACCACATGGTCACACGGTTTAAGAGTGGAAAAACCAAACCCAAACACATCTTTGATCTCTCTCATGTGCTACACGCTCCCGATCCAACCACCTACCAGCAGGCTTCAAAATCTCAAGAATGGCGCATGGCAATGTCCCACGAATTTCAAGCTCTCCAATCACAAGGAACATGGGAGTTGGTACCTCCAGACAGCACGCAAAATATTCTCGGGTGTAAATGGATCATTCTCTCTTAATCTGCACCGCCGACAAAATACATATGTACATCCTGATCTACGTCGACGATATCCTGCTTACAGGTAATTCTACCACTGAAATAAACCGATTATTAGCTAATCTCCATGACAGGTTTCACATGCGGAACCTGGGGCCTCTGTCCCAATTCTTGGGAATCCAAGCAATAAAGAACAAGGACGGTCTCATTCTTCATCAGCAACACTACGCCCAGAACATTATCCACCGCGCAGGAATGACCTCATCAAAGCCCGTCTCCAACCCGATCTCGAGCAAAATTGCGCTCAAGGACAAATCTTACGATCCTTTTCCCGATCCTCATCTCTACCGCCATCTGATAGGGTCACTTCAGTATCTCACGCTGACCCGGCCAGACATTCAATTTGCCGTGCATCAACTATGCCAACACATGCACAACCCGCTTAACATTCATCACGAGGCTCTTAAACGGCTAATTCGGTATATTCAAGGGACGGCAAACACAGGTATTCCTCTACACAAAGATAAACTTTTATTACGCGGTTATGTTGATGCAGATTGGGCTAGCAACAATCAAGATCGAAAATCTATATATGGATACTGTAATTTCTTGGGTACGTCTCTCATCTCATGGCAAGTCAAGAAACAGAATACGGTAGCTCGATCCTCCACCGAAGCCGAGTATAGAGCATTGGCCACCGAAGCAGCTGAGATAATATGGCTCAGAAGTCTCCTCGAAGACCTTCACGTACCTCAGCTTGCACCAACCACAGTCTACTGCGACAACACATCCGCCATCGCCTTAGCAAACAATCCGGTCTTCCACGCGCGTACAAAGCACATCGAGGTCGACTGTCACTTCATCAGGGACTGCATTCGCAGCAACCATATTGCCGTTCACCATATATGCACTACAGATCAACTTGCGGATGTATTTACAAAACCCCTTACTACCACACGGTTCAAAGAATTAACAAGCAAACTTATTACAGTTCCACCGTCATCAGTTTGAAGGGGGCTGTTAGATAAGCTGCCTCTGCAGATTAATCCACGTGGCAGCATCTCATTACTTGTACTTTCTTTTATAATATCTTGTTTCTGTTGTCTTTAAATAGAACTGTTTTGTAACTCAAAGTTAATTAATGAAATATTTTCTTTCACCATCTTCCTGGCATCGCCTGTCTTTCCTCTGAGAAATGAATCTCTGTTTCTCAGTTCTGTCGTGATCTCACTATTCTACAGCATTGGAGTGTCGGCAAAACACAAGATTCGAGTGATATCTAAAAATTAAAATCTTGCAATTTGTATTGCCCCAGGTTGAGTCGGGAAGAGAAAGAGTTCTTCAAAGAAAATAGAAAATCAATTGGAAAAACCAGGAGAAGCCGAGAAGAATAAGATACCCAGGAAATAGAAATATAAGGAAAGAAGGCGTCGTTTGTCCGTCTCTTCTTGTCGTTCGTCTCTTCCAGTCGTTCTTCTCCAAGGCTTCCGTCATTTGTTTCTCCGGGTCCGGGATCGTTCGTCTCCGTAGGGTTTGTGAGAAAGATGCAAGAAGTGCTGCGCGTAAAATGTTATTTTTTTCAGCCTTAAGATGTGAGATTAGCGGCTCAAAACACGCGATTCGGAACCGGCCGGTTCTTTCAAACGATCCCGGTCCGGCGGTTCGACGGTTCAACCGCCATTTGAACCGGTTTTTGGCCAGTTTCATTGCAGCCCGATTCTAATGGCAGAACCGAACCGGCCGCTAGACCGGTTCCCGGTTCAACCGGTTGAACCGGCCGGTCCGGTCCGGTCCGGTTTTTAAAACCTTGGAATTCTGTTATAATCAAGTATATTATAGAAGTTTAATTAATTCATCTTTTTATGTCATAATAAGAATCAAACATATTTCCCTTACTTGCAAAGCATTTTGACATTATAGACTTGTTTCTATTGATTATAGGATCATTCAAATATAACTTAGTTGATAATGTGAGTCATGATTGAATAGGTGAGCATCCAAATAACTAAATCTTATTACACTAGTTTTATGATGCTTAGGTTTCATTTAGGATAATTTTCTTATTGTTAGATTTCTAGTACAAAAATTTTAGTATAAAAAATGTTTGCATTAAAAGACTTTCTTTAAATAGTAAAAAGTAGTCCCATATGAAGTCTTAACCAGGTGGAAAGATATTATGATTTCTTTAAGAAAAAAAAAATAATAAGAAATTGATCTTCAAAATTTTTGTTAGAGGAAGGTCTGGTCAGAAAAAACATTCATAATATTAAATTCATAAACTATTATTATTATCTTCACGTTTGGAAGTAAAACAAATCTTTAATGCAAAATAAAATAAAATAAAAATGTTTTTTACATATATATTGCACTTCAAACTTTTGGAAATACTTATTCAACATCCAAATTTTGGAATTTAGTCATATATCACCCAAAACCCCTCTTTTCATCTATTCTAACACTCAGTTAAAGCTTCGTCAAAAATCTCAACTCGCCTCACTTTCGCGTGTGATTGTGTTCCATTCATTCGTGCGAGCGACTGTTTTCCCCGCATCGGCTTCCTCAGTGCTTTCGCCGCATTCAGGCGTTTGTCTTCCACGTTTGAAACAAATCGAGCAGTCATCCACTCGTGTGTTCGTCGCTCTTCGACGTATGGAACAAATCAAGTAATGCTCCGACAATTACAATTTCTCTCAATTTGATTCGTCTTTTTCAGTTTGGCTAAGTCATTTTGATTCACTTTTTTCACTTTGGCTTCACATTTGTTATTTGCATACACATAAATGGATTCGAGTAATTTTTGATTCATTCCCCTTAAATTTGGTGGATATTGAAGTGAGGCGCAGGGTCAGAGTCAAATGAAATATCTAGGTGAAAATCAAAAAACCTTAAAGCTTAAAAGAGACTAAATCAACTTTTTATATCTAAAAGAACGAGTTGAAGAGCAAGTGTAGTTACCACTCCAAGTTCACTTCGACCGCATCGTAGACCCCAAATAAGACAAATTCAGAATTTTTTAGAGATTGGAAAGAAAACAAAACTTGGACAGATATGGGGCCATCATAAAAGCACATATAAGAATCCATTAAATGTGAAAGTTGACCAGATTGATATTGAGATTCTATTCGAAGATCAGCTGTCTACAACACCAATTGCTCGTGCAAAACTTAACCAATTTCATTATTACAATTAAGGAAGGCAATTGGTAATTCGGGTCGGGTCGGGTCGACCCGGACCCGAAACGGGTTGGGTTCGGGTTCGAAAAATCGTCCTATTTACAGAAATGGGTCGGTTCGGGTTCACCTGAATAGTACCGGGTCAGTTTCGGATTTGACACGAACCTGACCCGTGACCCGAAATTGACATCCCTAGTTGTGTTGGTTTACCAATTGAGAGTTGTGTTTTACTATTTTTTATTTTTTTAGATTTAGGGTTTATTTTTTTCATGAGTTGTGAATCATAACATTATAGGTTTTATATAGAGAAGGAACCTATCCATTTACAAGCAATTGAAGTGACAATCAAAAAGTGGGATTCATCCGCTATTTGATATGAATAATCTAAGCCAAGTATCTCAACATAGTAGCTTGCAATAGTGCCCAACCAAAGTTCACATTTGACTTTAAATGACTTCATGAATTAGAAGATTATTGCTCATGCCTAGTAACTTAATACTAGTTCTTATTAGGGCGCCATATTTTGCCACATATAGCTTATTCCTAAAATTACATGGTGATTGCTCCCACGAGAATACTAATCTTGATACTTCATCAAAAATTGCTTAGATCTGATGTGAATCTCAATGTAAATTTGAATTAGAAATTTTCAAAATTAAGCTTGTGACCATCCGACCTACGATTTCAACAAATTTATAATCAAACTGTATGTCTCGAAGAAACGAACTCAATGAAACCAAAATCAGTCTAATTTGAACCCAAATGGGTCTAAATTGAGGGTTTGAAACCTATTTGAAAGCTTCAGAGCATTAGTTTGATGACCAAATGGTATCCATATGTGACTTGCTTATAGTTGAATCGAGGGGCTTGATGAGACGGATCAAGAAAGCCCAAGATCGCCGAATTTTGGCATCATTAAGACATCCAAATGCTCAATAAATAATATATGGTCAAGGGAGTTGCTTTTAGTCGTCCATTAAAAAACTCCCAACATACCCTTAATCATTTATTAGTCATGCACTCCAAAAAATTATAAACAGACTCCTTATTCTTCACAAATAAGATAGAGGAAGAGAAAAAATAAATGATCTCTCTTACTTTCTCAAGCTTGCACCACAAGCTCGATCTCTTCTTGACCGCCATCGTCGGACTTCCGGCTATCCATTAGTTGTTATTGGATCTTTTACCAACAACCAAACATTTCTAGAAATCTCCCCAATGAGTGATTAATATTGAATCTCTAGCAATAACTAAACATTGATGGACCATTCTCTATTATTCAATCTACATCAAGGGGGTCAATCTTCTAAAGTTTGGACATATTTTCAGCACTTTGTCTTCTCTCTAACCATGAGTTAAGAGATGAGTTGATGCGTCTAATTATGATCCTTCCAACCTTGTCGACCGCAAACTATGGTCATTCTAACCATCATCACCCGACTATGATCCTTCATACCATCGTCGCCTGACTACGGTCCTTCCGATCGCCATCTCCCGCTGATTATGGTCCTTTCGATCTTCATCACCCGATTACAGTCATTCCGACCACTATCGCCTAAATACAGCCCTTCCGATTACCATCGTCCAATTACGATCCTTTCGACCACTGTCGCCCACCGACTACTGTGCATCTGACCATTGTTGTCTGTCGACTATGATCCCTCTGACCACCGTTATCCATTGACTAAGGTCACTCCGACTTTCGTCGCCCATCGACTAATGTCCTTCCGACCACCGCCGCCCGTCGATTATGTTCCCTCCAATCACTTTCGTCTATCGACTACAGTCCTACTGACCAAACAGACATATCAACACTCTTTTAAGAACATACAAATGTAATGAGCTATATAAAATATGTATTGTGTACATTAAGCCAGCACCCTCGTCCGAGGATGGAGTTTATTTGTAATTAATCATCAATACTAATGGATTCATACAAATTGTGCCAAGCCCTATGATTTTTTTTCTTTTTAGGATTTTCCATGTAAAAATCTTGGTCTCTTGTGAACTGTACACCCCTACTCTTTTATCTATCTATGTTGGATTTTTGTACAAAGCTAGGATGTCAATATCCCTCTACCGCCGTGAATATTCCAGGATGCAATAAATCTCAAAACTTGTGAGATTGCTAATAATTTGCATATAAAATCAAATTAATAAAGTCAAAATATAATTTTATTAAAATAACATAAATATAAATGTTAATATAGATTATCAATAAATCAAATTTTACACAAATCAAGTCTTCACACGTGAGCTTTGAACACATCCCTAGGTAGTGGCTTTCTAAACAAACCAACCACTATCCTCTTGGTAGGATTCTATTGTGAAACTTATGATCCTTTATAATCATAGCATTTTTTATTCTTATATAGAGCAAATATTTTGCTTTATTTTCCTATAGAGTATAGACTACTAATTATATACAAAATATAGATAACATACAAAACAACGATTGAGTGATTATTCTAATAAGATAAAAATAATTTTATTCTTAAACTATGAATATTCACAATTTTTTTTATTTTTTTTATGAATATTCACAATTATACTAAAACATTATACTTATTTTCAGCCATAATTTATAAGTAATAATTTATAGTCTATTTTAATGCATATCACATGGATAAAAATATCTCCTTTTTTTTTTCAAAATTACAACTTTGACACTCCCACATTGAATTAATCAGACAGACTAGATTGATGATCATTACTAATATATAAATACAAACCAGATTAAGACTCCCTTTGCTGTTCCACTTTTCTCCTGATTAGGTGAAGACAAAACTCAGCCTCTACCTTCAACTGATCCCTCTACTTATTTTCTTCTTTCACCTACTTTCTCTTTCATCTCTTCATCCTCCATGGCCTCAAGCTCAAACCCAACATCCATGTCTATTGACTCCTTAAACCTGGCAATCCAAGTGGAGAGAAACCCATCAGAGTCACGCTTGGCTGAGCTCGGCATCAAGTCTTGGCCTAAGTAAGCCTTCTTTCTCCCACCTCACTCTTCCCTCTTCTCCTCCATACAAGCAGGCGGGCAGGTAGGGCAGAGCGGGAGCTCGGGCGGGCAAGGCAGGAGCTCAGGCTAGGCGGACAGTGCAGGCAGGCATCCTGTAGGGTAGTGCGGGCAGGCCGCCAGGCAGGCCGGGTGGTTGGGCAGCTAAGCAGCTTCTTTCATTTAATTAATTTTTTGATATTTTCTGGCGGCCTTTTTTTGCCGGAAAACCTCTGGAAATATTTGTCGTCGGAAAATACTGCCGAAATATTTTTCCTACCCGTGTTTTACCGTCGGAAAGCCACCATAAATTTACAAAACCGCAAAAAAACGATCATTTGACGTAGAAAAATGCCACCGGTAAAACATGATTTTCCTGTAATGAATGTAGTTACACACTTTCTCATATATATACTCATAAACAGATGGGGCTGCCCTCCAGGAAAGTTTCCTCTCAAGTTTGAAGCTAAGGAGACATGTTACTTGCTGAAGGGCAAAGTGAAGGCAAGCATCAAAGGATCCTGCGAGTGGGTAGAATTTGGCGCTGGAGATTTGGTAACATTTCCTAATGGCTTAAGCTGCACTTGGGATGTCTCTGTTGCTGTTGACAAACACTATAAATTCGATTCTTCTTAAAAATCTTCCTTTTAGTTCTTTATGGACTTACCTGTCAGCGGCTAAGTCATGAACAAAGCATCATCATCATCATCTTCTTCTTCTTCTTTTTCATCTGTCTATATCTGTCTAGAAGTCTCTTCTGTGTTAATGGAGGCCTGTTAAGTAAAGGCACCAAGAAAAAGAAGCCATGAATGCTTCTTTGAAAATTGTTGTCGTCAGCACTTATTTTTGTCTATCCGACAAACAAAATATCTTTATCGTCTTCCTTCTTACTGGTCATAGATTCATCATCTTCATTATATTTTTTATTTAAAAATTTAAAAGCATAACACTTAAAAACTATTTTATTTACATATTTAACATTTAGATCTTACTATCTATTTACATAAAAACTAATTCCTTAAATAATATATATATAAAATACTACTTTGATCGTCTCTCATTAAGTTCTCTATTGCTCTTCTTCTTCATGTTGAGACGTCCTCACTTAATCTTCGTTGGGGTTGCACTCCTCTGATCCCGTCGACGACCTTTCCAATGAGATTTCATTGTGACTTACTTTAATTGAGGATTTCATTGGAGATTACACATGGTGTTAGTTCTATCAATAGCCCTTTATTTTGTGCAGACGCCGAATACCATTCAGAACCCAATGAAAATGCGCCACGTCACAACCTATTTAGTATCGCGGCTCGTTACTGCTCGGTATTAGATGACGTGGTTGCACCTGATTCATCTTTGGACGATAAGCTGTGTCCGATATCCGCACAGAATAATCTCTCCCCTATAAGATCTCATTGCAACTTCCTTTCATCTTATTTGTAATTAATGGTTTCATTCGAGACTACACATGGTATTAGTTCCATCAATAGCCCTCCCTATGAGGTCTCATTGAGACCTCACAATTTCTTCATCAAAACTTCAAACGATACTAATCCTCTTGATTGCCCTCCTAATTTTACCCTCTCGTGACTTTCTCGTCTCTTCTTTCGTGAGTGTGTGTGTGAGTGTTCAATATACACTAGGGCGGATCCCCATTGAGTTGAGGAATATTTTTAAATATATTTTTTTTAAATTTTAGTGGAATATTTTGAAATATTTTGGGTATTTTGGGTATTTTGCCCCCTCTTAAAAAATTTTTTTGCCCTCATTTAATCTTTCTTAGTTATGGTTATGTTTTTCTTCTAAGATGAAATGAAACATTAAACAAAAGAATTTGTAAATAAAAGAGCTAATGTCACGACCAGTTCATAAATTGTTAAAGCTTCCATAAAAGTCAAACTAAGCAATAAAGTACCTCGTATTTTACCCTTTGCTTCTGGTTGTCAGTTTGCTTGATTTTCCCAAGCTTTTAACAAGGGGAAGAGGGTTCAGATTTAGGAGAAATAATTCTGTGGAGAACGGACGCATAACGACATTCGGAGACCGACAAGAATGTGCCACATCAGCGATACTGAACACAGGAATGATGTGGTGCATTCTGATTGGTTTCCGAAAGGCATTCGGTGTCCGCATAGAATAATTTTTCTAGCGAAGAGCCGGAAGAGGTATATTCATCTTTTATGTTCATGAGATGGGAGTTAAAAAGTGTTAGATTAAGTAAATAGTAAGAATAATCTATCAAAAGTATAAATAAAAAATAATTTTGAATGCTTGTATATAAATCCTTTCGCTTGCTCCTACCTATCCTTGTTAGTCTGATCTTTTGTCGTAATGGAGGCATATTAACTAAAGATTTGACGGTCAAGAATGCCCCAACTGTCAAGGAGAAGACTGGTTCAAAGTAATTAAATATTTGTTTGAAAAAGAAGCCATTTCTTCTTTTGACTGCCGACGCTATAAATGGCTGTGGGCAGCGCTTATTTCTGCAAACTTTTAAGGTTTTAATGGCTGCTAATGAATGCCTTTTGAAACTATCCTCAATTACGTCAACTCAACTTGATGGGTTGATTGAGATCTTTGGCTAATAATCAAAAGATCTCATATTCGAGTAGGGGTGTAAAGAGTCGAGTAGACTCCAATAGTGATGTTATCGAGCTGAGCTCGTTTAGCTCGTACTAAGCTCGAACTCGTTTAATGAGCTTGAATTCAACTTGTTGTATAAAAACCAAGCTCGAGCTCGGCTCGATTGAAAAGCTTGAACTCGACTCGTTTATCAAGCTAAAATAGAATATAAAATAATAATTTTAAAATAATATAATATAACATAATATAGGTAATGTAATTGAGTAGGTTGACAAGCATGCAAGTTGAGTTAGGTTGAGCATAAACTCGAGCTCGTTTAATATACGAGCTCGATTATAGGATCGAACTTGAACTCGAAACTCAATAAGCTTGACTGACCAGCTTGTTAAAGAGTCGAGTTTGAGCCGGCTTGACTCACTTACACCCCAAAGTTCGAGTCTTGCATATGTGATGTGTGTTTGAATTTACACTAATTGGCCTAACTCTCGACGAGGATTGGTTGATCTCCAAAAACAAAGAACTGAGCGTGAAACATATGAGAGTGCTTAGATGTGGGGAAGTTGGCTTGCGGTTTCCTTTCCAACATTATAACTATCCTTTTGGTGCATCAATAATACCTATTTGCTAATATTTGCAATTTTGCATAGCTCACGTTGGTCAGTTGGTTAAAAGCTTAGGCTATCAACTAAGAGGTCTTGAATTTGAGTCTTATATATGCGATGTGCGTATGAAACTGACGTAATTGACCTAAATATAAAAAAAAAAAAACATATTTGCAATTTTAATTCACCGGACATGAAGACTTTCAATCAACATTTTCCATTATTAATATGTCTACTTGAAACTATTCTCAACATGAATAAGAATTTAAGATATCATAATTTGATTTTTATAAATTTATAATATCACTTTATGTTGATTTATATTTGAAGTGAAATTAACATTTTTAATTAAAGTTATTTAATTGTTTTAGTATAAAATTTAGCTTAATTATTTGGATTTTGATTTACCAAAGAAAATATCATATGTTATCTAATTTCAATTAGTTCCACATGATCAAACCTAAAGTTTCAAGATGCACTAATTTCATATGATTAATTGGAATATAATATTATATGCAAATTATGTCTTATATTATTATCTTAATAAACTGAGCCAAATATTTTGACTAATTGACTCTTTTTTAAATATTTTAATAAACATGCTCATCTTACTAATTCTTGTGATTAACGTGCTCCTTCATAAAAAAAAAGCCTAGAAATGAAAATCTAATGATTTAATAAATTAAATTATATTGATTTAATATGGAATGACTTGATGAAAATAAAAATTAGTTGGAGAATAATATTGCAAATAATTTTTTTTTGGGGGCTAATACTGTAAATACTTGCAAACTCCTTTCATTATTATCTTTTTCTAAAAATATTGTATTAGAGTCTAATGATTCAATTAGCTTTAAATTCATCATCATGATTTCTCTCAACAATTACATCTCCTTTCAAAGATAAATTATTTTGAGCAGAATCTGGACACTGAACACCTTCCGGAGATCAATCAGAATGTGTTATGTCAGCAGTGCCGAGCCGCAGTACTGAGGGAGACATTGCACATTTTAGTTAGTCTCCGAACAACGTTCGACATATACACAGAATAATTAATCCCATTTAAGACATTCATCTAACATGAGCTTTTCCTCAAGGCGGTGATAAAAAAAATATTTTCAGGGTGCTCTTCTTATTAGAACATCAATATCACCACAAACAAAATTGAGCACACATATATTCCTAGGATGGCATTTATTATTAACCTATAAATTTTTTTAATTTAATACCTCTGTCATCATAAATATTTATAACAACTAATATATAAATATTATTATTATTATTGTTATTTGATACGTACTCCAAAAATTATCTTGATCGGCACAAAATCTCGAAAAGCTATTTGGGTAAATTATTATTTTGGGAACTATAGTATCTTATTTATAGTTCAAAGTCATGAAGACCCAACGACACCAAGATCAACCCAATCCGAGCCCGAATGAGTCCGAATCAAGGGCTCGAAGGTCGCCGTTGGAAGGTTCAAACCGCAATTTGAGTTACCAAACGGTCTCCGATTTTGACGAGCTTGTACTCGAATCGAACGGCTCGACGAGAGAATCCAACAAGCCCAAGATTTCCGAATTCCGACATCATTAAGGCCTTCAAATGCCCAACGAACGGTGCATGATCAAAGGATTCAATATCGGACCGTCCATTCAAACACTTCCCAATTTCGCCCCTGATCTCACGCCTATTTACGGGCTATGCCACTCCAGAAAAACTATAAATAGAGCCCTCATTCTACACCAAAGGGACTCAAGTGAAGATAGAGAAGAAGAAGGAAGAAGAAGGAAAAGGGGAAAGGCGATTCCTCTCATTCTCGACCACCGCCGGAGCTCTTCCTGCCGCCTGAATACGTCGGACTTCTGCCGGATTTTCGGGTAACGATGGGATTCTGCAAAACTTTGTAAATTGGCTTAAAATTGTAATCAGATTGTCCCGATTTGTGGGACGAATCAGTTTCCTGTAGTTTATAAAAATACTAGTTGAATTTTACAATTGGACAAGGCCTCGTGGTTTTTTTCCCTTTTTGGGTTTTCTACGTTTAAATCCCGGTGTTCATATTCTCTTTACTGTTTGTGTGCTAAATTTACGTGCAACGCTCGGACGCGAATTTATAAATTCTACCGCCACATATTTTCAAGCACGCAACATTATTTAAAAACAAAAATTCAGTGCAGAAGTCAAAATATGACAAATATTTTCTGCCGAAATTATCACAGAACGAAATATGACGACAATACTGCCTCAAATTTCAGTGCGGTTCGGATTCGAATCAAGAAAACAGCATTCAGATCCTAAAGTGAACCATACATCTTCGACCATCTTAACCGTTCGCGAACGGATGCTGGAAAGTGATTTTTTCAGATAAACCGCGGGACACCACACAAATGAAGTGGCTTTTTTTGTCATATAATTAATTTTGCTGGCTTAACCCTCGACCGGATTTCTGGCAATCTGAGTTGTCCTCTTTCCTCCATTGTTCTCTGTCGTGTGCATCTCGTCTTCTCCATTTCTCCGACGGCGATGGCCGGACAGACGTGCTCGGCGCCGGCTTTAGCTGCACTTCTGTCAGCTGGCGATAGAACAGGAAACGCAACGGCCGCGGCGGAGTACATCTGCTCGAAGCTGGAGGCGGCGGCGCTTACGAGCGTCGATATCACGACGGCTGTTGATACGACCTACCTCCTCTTTTCCGCCTACATGGTGTTCGCCATGCAACTCGGCTTCGCTATGCTTTGCGCCGGGTCCGTTCGCGCCAAGAACACTATGAACATCATGCTCACCAACGTCCTCGACGCAGCCGCCGGCGGCCTCTTCTACTACCTCTTCGGCTTCGCCTTCGCCTTCGGATCTCCTTCCAACGGCTTCATCGGCCGCTACTTCTTCGCACTAAAATCCATCCCATCACCTGGATTCGACTACTCCTACTTCCTCTTCCAGTGGGCCTTCGCAATCGCTGCCGCCGGCATCACATCCGGCTCCATCGCGGAGCGCACCCAATTCGTCGCCTATCTAATTTACTCCTCTTTCCTCACCGGATTCGTCTACCCCGTCGTCTCTCACTGGTTCTGGTCGCCCGACGGCTGGGCTGCAGCTAATCGTGATCCATCCGCTTCCCTCCTATTCCGCTCCGGCGTAATCGACTTCGCCGGCTCCGGCGTAGTCCACATGGTCGGTGGCATTGCGGGCTTCTGGGGCGCTTTAATCGAAGGCCCCCGCATCGGCCGATTCGATCACAACGGCCGTCCCTTTGCCCTCCGCGGCCATAGCGCCACTCTCGTTGTCCTCGGCTCCTTCATGCTCTGGTTCGGCTGGTACGGCTTCAATCCCGGCTCCTTCATCACGATCGTCAAATCATACGGCCCGATCGGCTCCCCAATCCACGGCCAATGGTCCGCAGTCGGCCGCGCCGCCGTCACCACAACCCTCGCCGGCTGCTCCGCAGCCCTCACAACCCTCTTCGGAAAACGGCTTCAAACAGGACACTGGAACGTGTTCGACGTATGCAACGGATTGCTCGGTGGGTTCGCCGCAATCACCGCGGGCTGCGCGGTGGTGGATCCATGGGCGGCCATAATCTGTGGCTTCGTGGCCGCGTGGGTGCTCATCGGATGCAATAAACTCGCCGAGAGATTTCACTACGATGATCCCTTAGAAGCCGCGCAGCTGCACGGCGGGTGCGGAGCTTGGGGCGTACTATTCGCGGCGCTGTTCGCAAAGGAGGAGTTTGTGAATGAGGCGTACCCGGGGAGGCCCGGCCGGCCGCATGGTCTTCTCATGGGAGGCGGAGGGAGGCTACTGGCGGCGCATGTGATCCAGATCCTGGTGATTTGCGGATGGGTGAGCGCGACCATGGGGGCGCTGTTCTACGGGTTGCGGAAGATGGATTTGCTCCGAATCTCGGCGGAAGATGAGTTGGCTGGCCTGGACGTTACTCGGCACGGCGGTTCTGCTTACGTTTACGATGAAAATTCCGGCGGGAACGGCGGCGACGACGGGGGGTTCATAATGAAGGGATCCAAATCAACGAATCGGGTATAGGAAGCCGTAATGGTTTTTTTAAATGTGTCTGATTATGTTGGGAAAGCTCGTCGTCATGAAAGTTGGCCGTGAACGAATTTTCAATCTTTAGGGTTTTGATCGTGATGGGTAATAATTGATGCATATATATTTTATTAGAATTTTGAGCCGATTAAAGCCACTCATATACACATCACATGTAAAAATTTTAATCCAAACCTTTTTATTAGTAGCTAAAGATCCAAATTAGAGGTGTCAAAATTTGACCCGACCAGAAACCCAATCAAAATCTGACCAGAAAAATTTTGGGTTCGACACAATCTGTTTGCCATATTGGTCGGGTTCGAGTTCGGGATTTCGACTCATTTGTAAAACTGTGCCGGGTTCTGATTAACCCAACAATCTGAAATTAATCCAGATTGACCTGAATAACCACCTTCATAGCAAGGAAGCTCTTGTCGCCATCATTAAGGAGGATTTACGAGATTTGGCCCTGTAAAGGCACGAACAGAAGAAACGAGTAATGAGCATGCACCCGTCGCCATTGGCCATGGTTATGCCCCAAAGAGGAAAGATCTGACAAATAAGCGCGCGAACGGAAGAAAGATAACTACCTTCATAGTGATCCTCTTCTCCGACCGTCTTCCTTTGAGATTTGGCCGACTTCCTCGTTGGAGAAAACCAATCGGGATTGAATTTGACCTTCTTCCTTGCTTCTGCTAGAGATTTGGCCGAATAAGCCCGCAAACGGGACGAACAAGATGAAGAGGACACATCTGGGTTGGCGGGTCAAATCGGGTTAACCCGAACCAGGTTATGTTCGGGTTTGAATTCCTGACCCGTTTTCATAACCAGGTTGGGTTCAACTCAGGTCAGTTAGCAATGGGTCAAGTCTAGGTTGGACCCAAACACAACCCAAAAACTCGTTTTTAACTAGGGCTGCAAACGAACCGAGCCGAGCCGAATGTGAGTGTTCATGTTTGTGTTCATTTAATATCAACTTGTTCAAGTTTGGTTCATGTTTGTTCGAGCTTTAGAGTTTGTGTTCATGTTTGGTTCATTTAAATTAAGGAGTGTTCATGTTCGGTTCATGTTCAGTTCATGTTCGTTCGTTTAGTGTTTATCGAGCTTGTTCGTGAACATATTTAACGAATTTTTTTAACTATCAAACAAACACGTTCATGAACATATCTATGAACAAACACATTTATACTAAAAGCAATTGTCTATGTAACAAAGGTAATGATTATTTCTATTTATTAATTCTATAGTCAAATATTAATTATTTTTATCGAGCTTATTCACGAGTTCAAAATCGAACATGAATCGAGCTTTTATCGAGCTTCTTATCGAGCCTGTTCACGAACTTCAAATGATGTTGTTCGCAAACATAAATGATCCGAACGCATTAGTGTTCAAGTTTGTTTATTTAAGAATCGAGTATTTAAAATATTGTTCAAGTTTGTTTGTTTAGTTAATTAAACAATCGCAAACGAGCTTTAATCGAACCGAACGACGAGTAGCTCACCGAACATTTGTTTTATTTGCAGCCCTAGTTTTAACACTCCTAATCCAAATCAATAGAACAAGATAAGTTGTGTAATTGATTCATGTAATAATCAAATTTATTCAAAACTCATCTTGATATTTTGGTTGGAAGCTTTGACTATCAACAAAGATGTCGTGAATTTGAAGCATAGATAGTGTGTGTGTGTGTGTGTGTGTGTGTGAGTTTGTCTTAATTGATTCAAATCTTTTAAGAAAATAAGAATTATTAGTTGAAATAATTTATATTATATTAAATTTAAAATGAATTTAATATTTTTTAAATGCATTATTTTTTAGGGGCACTTAGGTCAATTAAGACAAACACGCATATCATATACCCAAGTCTCAAACTTATAACATTTCAGTCTGTACTGAAAGCTTCCAACCAAGAGATCAAGATGAGCCACATTTTAAATGCATTATAAAAAAAATGTTAGTATAAATTACAAAAAATTTTAAAATAAGTACGACTAACAATGGTGAGCACATGCTCAATTTTGATTTATTTACTCTTCTTTGGACCTCTATTTCAGTGCACCTGGTCTACGCTCTTTAAAAATATAATAATAATAATATTAATAATAATAATAATAATAATAATAATAATAATAATAATAATAATAATAATAATAATAATAATAATAATAATAATAATAATAATAATAATAATAATAATAATAATAATAATAATAATAATAATAATAATAATAATAATAATAATAATAATAATAATAATAATAATAATAATAATAATAATAATAATAATAATAATAATAATAATAATAATAATAATAATAATAAATATTTGGTTGATTGTAAATTAAATTTTGAATGCTTTTCTTATATTTATTTGGAAGTACG